CGCGTGACTATTCAATTTCAAGTGGTTTTCAAGTGGTTAGAGAATTCGAACTTCGACGATCGTTGGTGTGGCAGAAGACAGTATATCGAGCGACTTGTAATGGATAACACATAATGCTAATTTAGGTTTCCATATTTTATATTTGAAATTATAACACACAGATGATGAGACAAACCTAGTCTCGAAACGTTTGTGAAAATTATTATTCCTTTAAGTACTGACGTGGGTGTCTCATAGACGGCGAGTTCACAAATATAAGCCGTATTTCAAAGCATTTAAAGATACGCTCGTGCCCTTTCCTGTAGCTTCGGGATTAAACCCGTCGATCATTCAGTCGAGCGCTCGCTGTCGGTGTAATAACTACACGGAGTCTCTCAGACGTAAAGTCAGTGTTGAAGTTGTGAGTCTGTTAGACGTCAGATCATTATTAGTGTATATCTTTCTAAGTGTCTACAATACGTCACCTCATTATTTATCGTATTATATTAGATGGACCAACCTAGTACTTCGAAAAATACCCGTAAAAGAAAGAGAGTGGTTGCTCATCACTAATCAAGACTTCGAAAAAACTCTACAATATTGGTTAGAAACGGAAATTGAGGGCGACTTTAGCGATGTTGACGATGATCTGGCAGACCCAGACTTCTTCTTACAATCTGATCACGATACGGAATCTGAACAGTCAGGAAACGAACAAAATAAGGAAAATGAGAATCAGTTACAAATCAGACTGACCACCGTGTCTCCTCATGAAACCAACCCAGTTCCAGTACCTTCAACTGTAAGTCCTATTCCAGTTTCTTCTAGTAATCAGTATTATTATGGGAAAAATGGTTTCAAGTGGTCATTTGAAGAACCTGTTATCAGATCGAGTCGTACAGCAAGTCATAATATTGTTGATATTCCTCGACAACAGCCCAAAACATTTATTGATTCGGAATCTTTATGGCTTGAGTTATTCGACACTACTATGATTGATACGATTGTTACCTGCACTAATCAAAAATTATCAGAAATTCGCATGAAGTATAAAAACCCAAATAAAATTGAACTAAGACCTACCGATCGTGAGGAAATGAAAGTTTTTCTGGGATTATTATTTTATACCTCAGTCTTCAAATCGAATCACGAAAACACTAAATACATTTTTGCTAGTGATGGTTCTGGACATGAAATTTTTCGTTGCGTCATGTCTCAGTTTAGATTTCTCACCCCCTTGAACTACATTCGTTTTGATGACAGTAACACTAGATCGCAACGCCTCGAAACGGACCCATTGGCTGCAATTTCAGAAATTTTTCAACTGTTTATTGCAAATTGCAAGAAGGCATATACTCCCGGTGCTTATTTATGTGTAGATGAAATGTTAGTTCCATTTAGAGGCAGATGCAATTTCTTATTTATATGCCGAAGAAGCCGGCCAAGTATGGTCTGAAGATTTTAGTAGTATGTGATGCAGTATCTTTTTATGTGTATAATGCATACATTTACCATGGAAAAAACTCCGACGGGCTGGGACTAACCGAAACTGAGAGAAAGCTCGCCATACCAACTCAGTCTGTATTACGATTGTGTAAGGATTTTGAAAAAACCAATCGCAATATTACAGCCGACAATTGGTTTAGTTCTATAGAACTGATGGAGCAGTTGAAAGATAGAGGTCTGACGTATCTTGGAACCTTGAAAAAAAAATAAAAGGCACATTTCACCAGAATTTCAAGCATCTAAAACTCGCCAGCCTGAATTATCTTTACACGGTTTTACTAAAGGTTTCACTATTGTTTCATATGACCCTAAAAAAGCAAAATCAGTAATATTGATTTCTTCAATGCACCATACAAAGCAATTGGATTCACTATCAAAAAAGCCGGATATCATAATAGATTATAATAAAACAAAAGGGGGTGTCGATGAAATCGATAAAAAGTGTTCCAATTATTCGTCAAATCGTAGAACCAGACGTTGGCTTTTCGCGATTTTTTTTAGAGTCTTGGATATGAGTGGAGTCAACGCCTATGCTCTATACTAGACCTGCACTGCTGTTCCTGATATTCCTAGAGCACGATTTCTTCGGAATCTCGCTTATAGTTTAGTTTTGCCGCACTTGAAATGCCGCGTATACAATAATAGATTACCGAGAGAATTGCGACTGACAATAGCATGCGTACTAGGTCCAAATAAGCCTCCGGTATTTGAAACAATACCCCCTGAAAGTACAGAAGCAACGAGAAAAACGTGTCAAATATGCCCATCAAGACTTAAAAGGCGTACTAAGTACAATTGCATCGAATGCCATAAGCCTATTTGTCTTGGATGTTCAAAAACGATATGCGTGGACTGCGCAGACAACAAGTAATTTGTCCCAGAATATTAATGTGATTTGAGAAGCAATTGTTACCTAAGCAAAACTATAATGTAGACTGATATTATAAATGTAAGAAATTTTCCAATTGACGTCCAAATAATCATATTGTAGCTAAGATTATTACATATATATTTTTAGCCAAGCGAAATATAGGTTATATGATTTGAACCAAATAAATACTGATTTGATTAGAAAATGTTGTATTTTTCACTTCCTTAATAGGTTAATAATGGCAGATCATAATAAAATTTATACAATACATAATTCAGTAAATAAAAATTATCCATTTCGATTATTTAATATGCCGTCTGACATACGTCACGTCATCATTTATGATACGACGAAACCACGTCAGAACTCACGTTAATAAATTAGTGCAAAAAAGAGTGTTTGTTCATATTTCCAAATTAATATATATATATATATATATATATATATATATATCTTATATATAAAATTCTTCTGTAACAATGCAAGTTTCATTAATCCTCCTAAACTATAATTTGGATTTTCATGAATCTTCCTGAAGTTTGTTCGGGAAATTTTCTAGAGTGTTTTGATATATAGAAATATAGTTAGAAATAAATGGAAAAAATTACAAAAAACCGCTTATCATTATTTGACATTGAAAATATTTTGGGCATTGCAAATGTCATCTGTCAAAAATTTTCCTTTACTGATGACATTATATTAGAATATGTATTATAAATTCATGATTATGAATAAAAATTATGAATATTATTGCCGAATCAGCTAAGATATGACAGAAATTAAATAAAGTATCTTTTTTCCAGATACAATTATATATTTCAGTTTAACAGATTTTGAAATACAAATGTATTTAAAATTTTTCTTTGAAGGCTATGATTTATGTTTAATTAAAAGCAGATCAAAAATTGAAAAAGATATTATTACGGAAATTCAACTAAAGTATGTCTATATGTAAAGAAATTTACACGTCGTTAAAATGCAGAGATATATTAAAAACAGATAGCAAGTTTTGCAACAGAATTATATTAATATTTCTAATATGCAGCTAAATTTGACTATATATGTGACATATATACTTACATATATTACATATATACTACATAATTTTGTTTCAAACCTGGTGTCTTTCTTTCCAATGTGTAGAACTCAATCTGATAATACCTCCTAAAAACCATGTCTTTTCGGCAGACTCCTATTTAACATCTCGAAGCACTATTTCAAATGATTGGTATGACACTGCTATTCAATTACTCTATGCTTAACAATTCACTCACTTTTTATCCTCTCACACGATGAATGTATATAAGCAATCTCACCCCATTACATTCAAACATTTATTAAATAAGGAATTAAATCAACCATATTCGAAGTCTCAATAATATCTTTTTCTGTCGAGACATACTCAAATGTATCAAGCGATGATGGTATTTTACATACCAAGAAATTCTTTTTTTTTCAACTTTAACAAACTATAACAAATGTAACTGATAGTAATCGTTCTTAAAAAAAATCATGAAACAATTCTTTGTCACTCATTATGTTTTATTTATTATACTCAATGTTTAATTGAATATTATAGAAAGTTAGTCATTAAATATTGACTGCGTTGACTCAAGATCTTAAACTAACCATACGAATCTTATTCACTGCACTATGCAGTCGCAGCATAGGTAAAGAAAATCACAATCAGTTTGAGAATTGAGAGGAAACCTATGATATATTCATATACTCTTTTCTATGGATATATTCATTTAGAGAAATGACAGTTGAAGAAATATCAATTTACTTATAATTCGAATTTAAATGTTGATAACACTTACATATCACGATAATTATACAAACATTAACCTATAGAACTGAAAGAAAAGAATGAGATAAATATAATGAATTAAATGTATTATAATGAATGTTAATGTCAACGCTCTGTCAAGCATTATTTGTTAAAAATCATGTCCATATTGTGCTCAATTTTGTGTTAATAATTCTAAGAAAAAAATATACAACCATGTACAACTAGAATTTTTTTAAAACTAAATATTATAAATTTATCAAAGCGAGTTAGTTCGATAGATGTCTCTCCGCCCGCTAAGAGTGTCTTATCCCTGTTAACTTGATAGGATGTGGCTATGTACGGGAAAGTAGAGTCCAGGAGAGTATTAATAAGAATCAGTTATAATACAGTATTAGTGGAAGATATTGGTATTCTTCAGTTATAGTTTAAGTACAATTTGAGAGTAAGATTAAGTGATTCACATTATCCAGCGGGTTATAATATTTAAGATTTTCTTTTATCGTGCCACGATGCCACGAATTCGCAGAGGGGCAAGTAATTTTGGAAGACGTACTCGGCAAGCTCGAGCAATCTATGAACGAAGATTGAATGGGACCCATGAACAACATATGATAGACAATATGAATTTGAGAGAGCAAGTAGCAATGCCAATGAAAGTTTAGAGAGACGTACTCAACGACTGACAGATATGGCATTGAGAAATCGAGAGGTGCGACCGCCGCCATTAGAGAAAATAATCAACGACGAGTTAATAATCACAGAGCATTGGTACGTGCATCACTTTTGCGCCTGGCGTTTAATTATGATCCTGAAATTGATTATTCATCACACTCTTTAATTACCATTGGTAATATGGACAATGTATGTAAACATTGCCATGCTCTAAAATTCAAAGGAGAATCAGCAGGTTTATGTTGCGCATCAGAGAAAATTATATTGACAAAATTAACAACACCACCGGAACCTTTAAAAACTCTACTAGATGGAACAACGTCTCAATCAAAAATATTACTGAAAAAAAATCGCAAATTTAATTCATGTTTTCAGATGACGTTATTTGGTGCTACGAAAGTATTTGAAAATGAAGATGGTCGAAATTTCGAATCAACATTTAAGATACAAGGTCAAGTTTACCACCAAATCGGTTCATTGTTTCCCATGCCTGATGTGAATCCGAAATTCTTACAGATTTATTTTATGGGCGATGATGAACAACAAACAAACATGCGATGTGAATTTAATCACATACAGTTTATGAAGGAAAGAGATATTGTGAACTCTTTGGAAATATTTTTTAAAAACCATAACCAGTTGTTGTATTTGTTTAAGACTCTTTCAAGTAGACTAGAAAACGATGATTACGCTATTATTATTAGAGCAGACAAAGTGCCGATGGGAGAACATGCTGGCGCATATAATGAAGTCGCGGTCGTAATAGCTGGTGATCTATATGAGGGGCGTGATATACGTATACAACGGAGAGATAATACCATGCAGATAATACAGGACAGTCATAGTTCTTATGATGCTTTGCAGTATCCATTGATTTTTGGAAAGGTGAAGATGGGTACTATTTAAATATTAAACAAAGGGATCCAAATACAGGTAAAAATCTTATTTTTATAAAAAAAAAACAAATAATAATAATTAAAATAATTTTAATATGTTTTATTCCAGGTGCAGAACTTGCCAAAAGTAAGTGCCATGGATTTTTACTGCTACCGATTAATGATTCGAGCTAATGAAGAAAATAACATTTTTAAATGCAGACAGCTATTCCATCAGTTCGTGGCCGACATGTATGTAAAAATTGAGAGTGAGAGATTGAGATTCATAAAGTTTAATCAAGCCAAACTCCGCGCTGAGGAATATATACATTCGCGTGATGCAGTACTTGGTAATGTAGATGCAATGAATGATATTAGTCATATTGGTACTGCATATATTCTTCCATCTTCTTATATTGGAAGTCCGCGACATATGCAGGAGTACATTCAAGATGCTATGGCTTATGTTCGTGCATATGGCAGACCTGATCTGTTCATTACCTTTACGTGCAATCCCAAATGGGATGAAACAAAAAAATTGTTGATGCCGGGACAAACAACGATGGATAGGCATAGTATAACTGCGCGAGTTTTTAAACAGAAGTTGAAATCATTGATGAATTTGATAACATCATTCTGTTTTTGGTGAAACACGCTGTTTGTTATACTCAGTAGAATGGCAGAAGAGAGGTTTACCCCATGCACATATTTTGTTGTGGTTAGTTGATAAGGTACGTTCTGTAGAGATTGCATATGCAAATATGTTCATAAAGGAAGCGACAAAGCGATATTTGCAATTAAAAGTATTAATGAGAATGATGAAATAACTCGATATAAATGGGCTGTGCATTTGGAGAACGGTCAGCGGGTATACTTTACAGAAAACAATATATTACAACAAGCTTTGACTGCTCCGAAGACTACTCTAACTGCATTTTTTAAACTTTGTAATAGATCAGATATTGCTGGAAGATTTGCTAGAACATTATTATATACAGATACACCTAAATATTTTACATGGGATAAAAAATCAAAAGATTGGGTACCTAGAAAACGAGGTATTCCTGTTTCAGGATTCGAAGGCATATATATGACAAACAATTTGGTTAGATTGTATACTGTTCATCCTAAGCAACGAGAATGCTTTTATTTACGTTTGTTGTTGATTAATGTTATAGGACCAAAATCATTCCAAAATTTGAGGACAGTCAATGGTATTTTATATGAAACTTTTTATGATGCGTGCCGTGAGTTGCACTTATTGGAGAATGATAATCAATGGGACATGACTCTTGCAGATGCAGCACTGATTTCATCTGCACATCAAATTCGACAATTATTTGCAATAATATTAACAACATGTTTTCCATCAGATGCATCTGCACTGTGGAATACACATAAAGACCCAATGAGTGAGGATATTTTGCATCGGTATAAAATTAATAATCAAAATAATAATCATGAATTTTCAGAACAAATATATAACGAAGCCTTAATAATGATTGAAGATATTTGTATCCAAATTTCGAACATGTCGCTAATTCAATTTGGCATGTCAGCACCGAGCCGAGCAGCAGTAGATATCATGAACAACGATGTTGAACGTGAACACCAGTTTGATAAAACTGCTTTAGCTACTTTTGTTGCTAATAATAAAATATTGCTTACTGCCGAGCAACAAAGTGTATATGATCAAATCAATACGTCAATTGAGGCACAACAGGGCGGATTCTTTTTTTTGGACGCACCCGGAAGCACTGGAAAAACATTTATTATTTCACTGATTCTTGCGCGTGTGCGGTCGCAAAATAATATTGCGTTGGCAATAGCTTCTTCAGGAATTGCAGCAACATTATTTGAAGGAAGACGAACTGCGCATTCGGCATTTAAGTTACCTTTAAATGTTCATGTTAACCTAGAAGAAATGTGCAACATAAAGAAGAAATCAGGAATGGCGAAAGTTTTGCGAAAATGTGAAATAATCATCTGGGATGAATGTACTATGGCGCACAAGCATTCGCTTGAAGCTCTTGATAGGTCGCTGAAAGATATCAAAAATAATAATTGTCTTTTTAGTGGCTGCTTATTGCTACTGTCTGGCGATTTCAGACAGACATTGCCCATTATTCCACGAGCGACGCGTGCTGATGAAATAAATGCCTGCTTAAAAAAGTCTTATCTGTGGCGTAAGAAATTATATCTTAGTGTTAACATTCGTGTTCAATGTCTAAATGATGCACTGGGGTCGAAATTTTCACAACAATTATTGGATATTGGTAATGGCAGAATTAATTTTTATGAAAATATAGAGTACATTCAATTCCCTGATAATTTTTGTAATATGGTTGATGGCAAAGCCAAACTAATAGAAAATATTTTTCCAATTTAAAGCATAATCATGAAGATCATGAGTGGCTACAAGAACGAGCAATTTTAGCAGCAACGAATTTGGATGTAGACGAAATGAATTTAAAAATACTACAGATACTGCCAGGATATGAATTCACATTTAAATCAGTTGATACTGTTATTGATCCTGATGAAATCGTCAATTATCCAGTCCATATTATTACTATTGAAAGTTGGTTCTCCAATTATATTATTAAGAAATTTAAATGCCCCAAAATTATGCAATGGCACAAGATTAGCAATAACAAAAATTATGGGAAACATTACAGAGGCAATTATACTGGGCGGAAAATTCAAAGATGATGTTGTTCTTTTGCCTAGAATACCACTAATTCCTTCGGAATCAGTAATACTTTTTAAAAGACTGCAGTTTCTTATACATTTATATATATTTATAAATTTAGAAAATCCGTGCTTTAATCACGGACAGCTATATATTGCTTGCTCAAGAGACAGAAACCCAAATAATTTATACACCTAATAATCTCATCAAGAATATTGTATATCCTTTGGCATTACGATAAACCTTACTACATTAAAAGTTTAAAATAAAAAAAAGAATTATAAACTATATTAAGATTAATTATATAATTAATATTAATTATATTAACATTAATTATTGGAATTGCATTCCTGAATATAATATTGTTAAATTGGAATTGCATTCAATTAATGTTAAATTGTACATTTGAAAATAAATATAACTATTGTATTAATTTAATTTATTTATGGATAATTTAAAAAAAAGTTGAATGATATTGAAAAGTTAAATACTTTTTTAATATAGACATATGTGTACAGGACAACGTCTGTCGGGTCAGCTAGTATATATATATATTTATCGTTGTGTCGTTTTTTTTACCGCGCGTCGCAAAAGGTTTGGTTTGGTTAACGGATAGAGTTTATAGCCTTTGTTACAAGGTAATGAAAGTATAGAGGGCAAGTTTTTAGTCAAAAAGTTAAATGTGTTATGGGGGCCCTATTGTTTTTGTGTTATGAGATAATAGTTTTATATTTGTTAAGTAAGATAATGATTAAGATTGGATATAAACTATTATTTTTTCGTTGTATGTTTTTTTTGTTCACTGATAATGTTACCGTAAAACAAACCAAACGAACGTTGTAGTGTATTACCGCGTGTTATACCGTCGGGATTTTTTGTTTAATTTGCGTGACGCCCTTTTTAATAAATTACGATTTTGTTTCTATTGAAAATACTTTAATTTGTTTCGTCAATAGTCATTGGCTCGTGTTTTTGACTGCCAAATCCAGATTAAGGGATCCGATATGGCAAATGAAAATAATGAAGAAAGAAAGTATTAATCGAAAGAAACATGAATGAGTAATTTTTGATAAGGTGAAGTTGATATTTGGAATCAAGGTTAAATATACTTGTAAAAATAGATATATAATTAAAGGATCGTGTTGTTAAAAAGTATCACCAAATTGAGGGAGTGGGAAATACGCATGGGCGGAGCAACCGAGCTAGCTCTTAAAAACAAGGATAGTGCATAGGCGATGATGAAACACCCCGCCAAGTCACACTTCTGCCCTCCTCCAATATTCCTAAGTATTCTATTCCTTAGTATTCTATTAGAATACGAGCACGCCGCACGCATAAAGGATGGTCCAACAACGACAAACTAGACTTTACTCCAATATTACAAGGACCAGCTCGCATGTGGTATCTATAAACAATTACGGCGCGATACTCTAGACTCGTGGGAAAAATGCCGTCGCATTTCTGGAACACGGTAGTCAAGATAGGGCTCAAGCGATCTTAGACAACAGAATTAGAAGTTCAAATGCCGAAATTAAAACATTACATACAAGCGGTGACAGAACTCTGCGACAAAATCGATCTGAACATG